CTCTTGGATTCGTGTTCAAACACCGAAGGAGCTCGAAGGCGGTGTTGAGAGGCAGAATTAACCCCACAAAAAAGTTCGTGCTGAAAATGGGACTTTGCGACAACATGAGTGTATGAAGGATTCGAAATTGTTGCACAACAAATACCTTCAAACCGCATATTTTCAGTCACGAACTGACACTGATTACATGAGATAATTGGACCCACCTACAGAAGTGGACACTCTCACCAACCATGTCGCGTCCAGAAGATACTTTGTACGCCCCTCCTCCACCCCGCACACACCACCATCTAACACCGCAACAGGCCCCCAGATCTCCACTACAATGACACTGAAGCACGCAAATATACTACTTCCTCCCGAATACAAAATATTCAAGCCTCTATGACCCATCGCGCCCTTGAACTTCTCGACCTCCACGAACCATCACTTATTCTAGACATCGGCTGCGGTTCTGGTCTTTCCGGCGAGATCCTCTCTTCGATACCAGAATCAGATGGTGGGCCACATATGTGGGTAGGAATGGATATATCAGCGTCAATGCTCGATATAGCGCTGCAAAGAGATGTAGAGGGCGACCTGATGCTCGCAGATATTGGACAAGGTGTTCCATTTCGGGCGGGAAGCTTTGATGCTGCTGTTAGCATAAGTGCTATACAGTGGTTATGTAATGCGGAAAGTAGTGAGGTCTCGAGCACGGGAAGACTATCACGGTTTTTCAACGGGCTTTATGCGAGTTTGAAGAGAGGTGGAAGAGCGGTGTGTCAGTTTTATCCGAAGAATGATCAGCAGAGGACGATGATTAGTAGTGCTGCCATTAAGGCTGGGTTTGGTGCCGGTATCCTTGAGGATGATCCGGGAACGAAGAATGCGAAGTTGTATTTGGTGTTGACGGTGGGTGGAAGTGCTGAAGAGGGGTCGGGGGGTGACATTACTGGTGTCGTGGAAGGGATGGAGGGCGTAGATGTCTTAGATGCGAGGAGGAAACACAAGGAGAAAGGGAGAAGAGATATCAAGAAGGGAAGCAAGGCATGGATTTTAAGTAAAAAGGAGCAAATGGAGAGGAAAGGAAAAGTAGTAAAAAATTCCTCGAAGTATACGGGGAGGAAGAGGAAGATTACTTTCTGAGTTTCGGTCGACACTTTTAGCATTGCATGGCGTACGGTAGAATTTATGATATCCGGTCTAGATAATTCGCGGAATTAAATTCTCAAGATGGTATTCTATACTATATGATATTGTGGCTCCTCACGGGGATGCGGGACAACCAATGAAATCCTTGAAAACCACTTGCACTTGCCCTGAGGACTCTCCACGTAGATTATATACGTTTAGCCATTATGAGTGAGCTGTACAATCACGTCGAAACTACAAAATCAAAAATTTTAGAGCCAGATTTACGGCTCTGACCTACGGGACTAAAATTGACCCATTTTTTGACCCGCATAAAATCTCTGTGGGTGTATAAGTCCGTAATGAAATGGCTTCACCTTTATTCAACTAGGTAGGACGATTGGCACTTAAAATAATGTAACCACGAAATTATCTCGAAACCGAGGGCAGTACAATACCAATATCTCCCCCCCCCCCCCCTTCTCTAACTCATCCAATGGTGGCCTGTTTAAACCAGGATATCCTTCAACTCTTCTATGCCAGAGCGTCGATCTCCTAAACTTGTTAGATGTATGTACATATGAAACTCCTCAATGAACTCCCCCGGTAAATCCTCCTGTTTAGCAAATACCTCCACTTCATTAACCTCCATATCAGCAAAAAAAAAAAAGAAAAGTTTCCGTAATTGGCTTCCCTTTTTCGTAAATGGCGTACCCTCGTTGTCTTTACCATAAATGTACTTCAGGCAGTGCGGTTGGTAGTCATAAGTCAATTCATCGTATGTCTCGCCATGTAACTCAAACAAGATCTCAATGATGTAGTTCTGTAGCTTTAGCATGATGAATCTCTCAGCTAGGACCCATAGCTTACATAACTCGAGGAACCGCTGATTTTGTCCTCGTTTTTCAGTCAACAATGGGACGTAGTTCTGGTACATCCATTGCATAAGGAGCTGAAAGGTTGTCTCATCAACATGTTCGAGGCGGTATTGTTGGCTTTGGCCTTCAGTGAAATAAACGCTAAAGGCGGCTTTTAAGGCTTGTGACGTGACGCAGACGACTTCTTTGTGAATCACAAATTCTTGTGAGGTTGGACCGACTAGAAATTTGACCATGTTAGCGGGCTGCGAGAAAGTGTGACTGTGACCGATGATTGTTTGTGGAAGAGGCATGGCAGCGATTGAAACTAGGTGACCGCGAATCTCAGTGAACGGTTAGCTTAGTTTTGATCGAAGGAAGTCCAAGAATTACCATTCAGAATCTTCCTGCAATTAGCGAATATCTTAGGTGGGCGCTATTGTAGTAGGATAGTTAAAAAGAAATATCAAACTCTAACGGATATCTTGCTGTTTGAGAGAATATCAAGAGAGCAGTTATTGAAGCAGGGGTTATACCTGTTAGAGCTATTGACGAATCTTCAAATCACAATAGTGCGTGAATTTTAATATTATTCTCTTACAATGCGAGGCATTGAATCCGAAGGGAAACTGCCCATATGATGGAATTTACTCTCTGTGACTCACTTTAGACAGGAGAGTTTTGGATTCAATTGCGACTTGTTGAGGGGTGTGCATCTCCAAGATATACAAGAAAAGGAATAAAATTCAGGCTTGAATAAGAATTTGAAGGCGTAGTTTAGAGAAATGCCCCTGAAGTAGTCTTAGAAACTACTTGGTCTCACTGAGCATCAATGGCCTATAGGCCTACCAGTATAATCAACAATTTAACTGTATTGTCGCAGCGAAATCGCATTATATCCTACCTCTGAATAACAAGACCGTAACACTGTATGGTAGAATTTACTGTCTTCCACATGTTTATATCAATGTTAAAGAAAGTGTAGATGTGTTTTCTTACCTAGTAAGTTAAGTGTTTGTCATAATGAGCTTGTCACACTAAAATAAACAATGACGCAGGAGCGACAGGCTATATGAGCTTCCTCTTATTTGTTTCTTCTCTATCTAGTGGCAGGACCCTGACTAGATCGGCTTTCACCCCTAGTTATATATGCTGTATACGTAAATCTTACTGAAGCAAAAACCACTAGGAAATTCAGACTCTAATCTCATATTTACTGGTTCCATTTTCGTCTCTAGAAAGGAGTCTTACTAATAATATCTAATAGTACTCAGACATTTATATAAAGTTTTATAAGCCAAGATCGAATTAGCCGGAGCTTTACAAGAAAGGAGTAGAGGATCTATTGGTAGGTATTAAATAGAGGCAGAGATTTATATTATAGTAATACGTTATCTAGAAGAGTCTTAAATAGGACGCTTGATTCTGGAAGAACTATAAGAGTATAGCTATTTATATGTACAGGACTGCGAAGTGATTAGTTGGTACTTAGTAACTGCAGGAGAGCTTCTCTAGTGTGCCTCAGCCGCGCCATTTTCCGCAACAAATTATATTTGCGATATAGTGTACCGACGTATTGAGTTGGTTAACTCAGACAATTAACAATTGCTTGCTAGCCTGTAACAAACATCGTTTGCGCTGGACTCTACTCAAACTCTCGAAGGGATGACTTAGTAGAGTTGGATATAATTGGGTCTTAAACATTGAGGCTAGGAAATACAGTTAATAGAATCTTAATACAGTAAGATCCGGAGGCAACAAACGAGAGGGCGAGGTTGTATACTCAAATTTCACTAACTGCAATATCAAAAGGCGCTAGACTAGATGCTTTCCCTTCGAGATGTAGGAAGAAAACGTTGTGGCGGGATTTAATTGTAAGTATCGAAAATATAGATTATATGAGTAGTAGATCTGTGATCGCGAGATATTTAGTAAGACCAATAGTTGCACTGATGCTGACTGAGGTAATTATATTAGCTAACTCGAAAAATTCCTTAGTAGAGCTAATTGGGAAGGTATAGTTATATAGGGGAACGGGGGTTGTATTATAGACTGTAAGGAGACTAATAAGAGCAGTAGTATATATCTTTTTGCTATAATAGAATCAAGTCAACGTTTATAGATTTGAGAATAATTCTACTTATAGTAGTAACTATAGTAATAAGCTGTGTTGGATATTTTCAGGATGATCTTTATTTCTACAGAGAGAAGTGCTATATATACAGGCCTGGAGTATGTAAGGTTGCCTACTACTGCCTATTGCTATGGCTCACTGAAGGCACCAGTTTGCTTCAGTCTGTCCTTGCCTATTCTTGCTGCCTATATTCAACACTAACAAAGTAAACCTCTGCTCAGGCATTCAAGTGAGAGTAGTATATTAATAAAAAGGATGTTTGTTCCAGAAGAACTAAAGGAGAATAGTTATTTATATGTAGAAGAGCGTGAATGAATGAGTCGGTACTTAGTAACTACAGGAGAACGGCTCCTTTGCACCTCAGGCGTACTATTTCCGGTAATATCTTGAGTCTCTAGTTAAAACCCGTGATTAAACTATATTCGGAATACTTGCTTCTATAGTAGTATGAATATAACACATGATATAATGCGGCACGTGTACAATATTATATGATCTTACATGATAAAATCTTATTTCCTAGCCTATACATACTGTAGGCATGTTGCATTTCACAGTTTGTATGGATAAGTAGACAGGATAACTAATTGTAGATGTGTCGCGACTAACTTCGGACTCCTAGCTGGATGATAAGTCCTTTTGAGTATTCGTTTGAATTTAATGGTTGTTGATAAGATTTTATTAACAGGGTGGGCAGCGTTTTCCATTTCCACCTTAATACATGAGTTGTGTCTCGTGCCCCTCGTCATTCTGATTAGTCATCAAAGCTATGAAGTGGGGTGCTAAAAATTGTTACTTCAGGTTTCAGGTGCTGCATCCAATCGGCAAAGACAAAGGGGTCCACTCTTAATAATTTACTAATATATACAAATAAGCGGCTACTATCTAACAAACAAGGACCGCTGGCGCAACGGTAGCGCGTTCGACTCCAGATCGAAAGGTGTATGTACAATTAATCAACAATGTGTTGAGATTTATCTAATATATTCAACAGTATCCGTTCAAATCGGGTGTGGTTCAATACCTCAGACCTCAGTTTATTTTTTTTCCCTTTTTATTATTTATTAAGTGAAGCCGAGGTTCCAACTTATATAATTAACCTTAGTTTATCGCTAATCCATCCAAACTAGATTTAAAAACAATTTTGTTGCTATAACTAGTAATCATTATGTCGCTTATTGCAGCGAAAGACATGGGGTAGTAGATAGAACGCTGGATGTGAAGTTCAATGGGATCCAATGGGATCCAATGGGATCACATGGATCATAACGCTCTATCTTCAAAGCCGTATCCCTATCCCAGCAGCTAATCATATATAAAATGAGTGTATAATGCCTGACCAGGTATACTAGAGGAAACTACAAAGGCGTTAATGGAATGGTGGTTGTGGGCGCTAGACTAGCTAAAGCTGCACTTGGAGTCATCACTTATTCGATAGAATGCTACATTTGAATCTTATATTTAGACTTTATACAACCAACGGCCGGTAAAGACGGTGCCAGGTTATGATTGACACCCGTGGTGGATTTGAACCCAAGAAACTATATACTTGCTTTTTAGTGTTTCTAAGTAAAGGTGATCAGTATATAATCGCCCTATAATTTAGTGGTATTGTTATTAGTAAAAAATGGAGAAAGAGTATGTGAACTAGGGGGATAGTAATTGTTTCAATCACATCTAATGGTAGGCGATATGAATGCCTAAATGCCACCGTAGCTTATTCTACACAGCAACAGTAACGGATACAGAGCAGACAGCTGACAATATACTTGACTTCACTGTTGAGTCTAGCTTGAGGCCCTGAAGATCTCGTTTCTTATGACGTACTATTCATTTGATTGGCTAGAGTTGTTAACCCCAACACCAAACCTCAAGGTTGTTTGCACGTGATGATCCTCAACTGTAAGCACAAGGCACTAAATGCCCTCCTCCTAACTTACTCTAGTGTTAGTTCTATCTTTCTATGGATCAATCTGTATGGATAGGTGAGTATAACTATTTTAACCTTCACGATTCAATGTACCCGTGTCTCCACTATGAACGCCCAATATCGAACTGGGCTTTGCTCAATTTGCTATGGTATTATGTGCCCAAAGGAATCTCCAGCATCTAAAGTTTGGATCGAAGCAGTTAGACAGACTTTCAACACCTTCCATGGAGCTATTAGGAATAATTGCATAACCCGTCCTGTTATGTGGGATCTGAGCTACCATTATCGACATATGTGGTCTGAGTTACCAGAATTGTGGTAGCAGATGAGTTTTCTATGACAGCTTCTTTTAGAACAAACCGCAACCCATTACACCCTTTGGTCGGATCTAAGACATGCACAGCGCCAGGCTCACAATTTGCCCACACACTGCGGCGAAAACGCATCACCAGTTACGGTTGTGGAGGCTGTGACGTACGGTGTCAGTAATTTTGCCTGAAACTGAGGCACCGATAGCCCTTGGCTGAACAAGAGAGTTACGACTATGCAAGTTTCAACTGTACTAGAACAAAGCTTAGTAGCTATGCCATAAAGATTTCAGGTTCTGCATGCCTAACGAAATCGAAACCCCGAAGCCACGGGCTGCAATTGCTAGCCAGCGTTGCCCTCTCTCCACAGCTTTAACACAACCACCTCTACTCCAAAAGCCTCAAACCCAAAATTGTTTCCCTCTCAATTTCAAAACCAGCAATATCACTGACTCTAAAGACGATATGAAAGATCCCATCGATATCGCGCCATTTATCTTATTCAACTTCGCTCTAGATACCGTGTCCTTCCCACACCTCCCGCAAACCCAGAAGGACAAGCCGACTTCTGCCCGTGATCTTTGTCTGAAGATTGAGTTGGCGCAGAAGCTTGACCCAGATTTTCGTTGCGTGTTGAATTACCGGGAAAGGATACTGAGATGGCCGGATTATATGTTTGACGGCGCGGAAGCAGTATCGATGGGGATCTATGAGGAGGTTAGAGTGAGAGGAAATTGGAGCTGGGTACAGTATCTACGGATTGATGCCAGAGCTTTTATCGATTTGCATAAGATGCCTAGGAAACGGATTGAAACCGCATGATGGGAAATACCTTGTCTGTCTTGAACGCTTTTGAACGTATGGACGCCATGTAGGATGAGCGGGATAAACAACCAATGATGGGAATTGGATATGATGCAAGGCTGGCTTATATGGCTCCATCTCTTCGCTTTGGGCCGCTTCGCAACCTATCTCAAGAGAAACATGGGGAGCCCATCGGCTCGGCTCGGCAGCAAGGCTTTTGATACGTCAAGCATGGGTATGCTGCGCACTTTTCGTCCCATGGGGCCCCCATGGGACGTGCACTTTTATCAAAACTCGCTTAAATTTTATGTAGATTTCTCAGATCGATAGTGCGAATGAGGTTATTTGCGAATTTCGCGAGTTTTTATAAAATTACCTTCTAGTTCAAGTAGAAGCAAGGGTGGCACGGGCCCATGGGATCCCAATGGGACGAAAAGTGCGCAGCATAAGCATGGGTTACACAATAGGACGCAATGGGCTATCGAGACTCCAGTGGCAGACCATGAACGCCAAAAACAAAAAACTTCAGCCTGAGAAATGGAGCTAATGATGTTCTGACCAAAATACACCGGGGAGCCCAATTTTGCTCCATTCTTGATGCTGGCGTTCTTCAAGCGCCATCGTACCAGGTGCACTCTCCTGGGTTGAGGGAACACCAGTACCACTCCTCTCGGGATCAGGCTCTGTAGCAGGAGAGGGTCCCTAGTTCTCAGTACTACGTTTTATTGCAATTTCATTTGGCACATATACTCTTCTTCCTCTAGAACAATACTTTAAACAGCTAGTCACGAGTTGAGTCATCATGGAAGAATATCCACAACTTCGGCGTCGACGGGAACCAGGTCCCGAATCACTACGGATAGCCTCGTCGGCCACACCGCAGGAGGAAGGACCTGTCGTGAAGACAGAGCCAGAAACAGATCAAGCAGAAGATTCTGTCGTAGACCTGGCAGTAGATTCAACTGCAGATCCATTAAAGGAGTCAAGGATGGGATCGAAGGAAATCAAAGAGCCACTTAAGCTTCTAAACATCTCTTCCGACCACCAATTTCAAGATGCTGGACTCGCTTTGGTTGATATAACCGCAGTGTCCATGAAGCACGCATTTGAAATACTAAGAGGAGTCCTGAAAGCTCTCAAAACCCCACTGACCTACCTTTTCACTGTACTCTTAGTGATCTATTTGGTCGGAGCCATGGCCACGATGTGCACTTCAATATTGTGCACCAACCCAACACTCAAGCTTGTTTTACCGTTCTGTCCTAGCAACAAAAATGGACCTAATCAGCCACAGTTTCAAAGCCTACAGAACCTACAGTTGAAACTAGAAGAGGTCCAGGAAATTAGCGCCGGAGGCGTTACTCTACCTTTGTTGATAAAGCGTGGTGAAGCTGCTATCAGGGAGGTCGCAATAGCTGTTGAACTCAGTAATCTTCCTTCAAAGTATGTTTCTCGTGCGTTGAGATCTCCATGTTACAATGAGCTAATAGCTCCCCTAGAGCACAGCTGGGAAAAGAACTAAACGTCTTTCAAAGGCAGGCTAAGACTGCCGGTAATGATCTTCGACGCTTTAACTCTCATATGGATCGGACGATAGATGACATCATTTCTATAAACGAATGGACTGCTCGGACTCTCGACGGGATTGCTTATGATAGCACGGTCGAAGACAGTAGAGGTGTGGTGGCGAAGTTCTTCGATACCACGCTGGTACCATTTCACGGCCTAAAGCCATCAACAGAAGACGCTGTAGCCACGTTATTCATGAAGCATATATCCCAAGTCAAGGGTGATGTTGATAGTTTGATTACTGAAGCTGGTATTTCTGCGATCAACCTCGAAAATCTCGAGACCCAGCTATGGAACATACATAGGATTAGTGAACGGGATGGCAAAGGAGTAGGAATGCAAAAGCATAAAGAAACGAAAAAGCTTGCATATGTCTTCGGACTCAACTCTGAGGCAGTTGGCGATCTGGAAGAGCAGTCAAACATTTTGCGTGCACTGACAGAGCAGAGGTCTCTTGCTTATGCGCAAGTGAGCGGTGTCTTGGAAAGTCTAAAAGTTATCAGCGATGGCCTAGAAGATTTGCGAGAACGGGTTTCAATGCCAGGAATGGCTTCGAGGTCCCAAACGATTCCTCTGGAGATTCAGATTGATATTATCAGAAGAGGTTTGAGAAGACTGCAGGATGGTCGACTGAAGATCAAACAAAAAAAGGAGGAGTACGTAAATGAGATTCGGGAGCAACTCATTAACACCCGTAACAAATAGTTAAGAACGGTGGTTAGAGTCACGTAGTATTAAGTGTGCGGGGACCTCGCGCAAGCCGTGGTAGCTATTCCTGAAGGTAAATTCATCGAGTCTTTTAACTTTCTCCTTTCTGCAGTTTTTATTGGCTCTATTTGGCTTGGAATGGTAGGCATCGTGGTATGCTTCGCCCTGCTTGTTGAGATGTATGCCCAAATTATGCAGCCAAGATCACTCTTCTTTTCCAATCCCCACCTACCATACCACACGCAACCGATACATATTTCTGTCTTCGAGAACGCAAGTGCCACTAGCACGTTCCTTTTGTAGTTGATTCGCTAGGGCGCGGTACGCCAAATGATGCTCATTCTTGAACCAGATATGTCTGAGGATGAGTCGAATCAGCCTCGATGCACTAAAAAGATGTTGTCCTTATTGAAAGCCAGGCTGAGCCAGCTGGAAGTCAGGTGTTGTGTTACCCTATAACTTCCATCTGAGACAATTGCTCAGCCCAACCAAGATTCGTAGCACACCCATCTCATTCCTCACGCAGAATTCACTCCTCTTCACCTGCCTTCAGGACAGTTTCTCATCTGTAATCTCGTAAATCCGAAGGACCAATATGCTGTTCGAAGAAACCCTATTAGCTTTGGTTCTATACCTGTACCTCTACACCAGAGGTTCGAGGAAGAGAACTGGCAATGGCAATTTTGCTGGACCTTTATTGC